CAACCAGTCCCATCAATGCCGAGTTCTGGATCCTCTGGTCCAGCACCACCTACAATCCAAAGTACAGTGACCTCTAATGCAACATCGCCAAACATCCAAGCTGCTGTCAACACTACTATTGCATCAACACCACAGACTTCTGCCAATACAAGAGGTCAACAAGCTACACAACCTGTTGTTAGTACTATGTCCACTCCACCACCACAGGCCACTACTATTACAACGGCTCCACAACAAACACAGTCTGCTGTCAACACTACTATTGCATCAACACCACAAACTACTGCTAGTACAAGGGGTCGACAAGCAACACACTCTAGTGTTTCTACTACTGCTGCATCATCACTACAAGCCACTTCTATTACAGCAACCCAGAAAACTAGTCAAACTGTCGCAAGCACTTCATCATCATTTTCATGTCAGCTACCTTCAAGAACAACAAGATCTTCTGCTTCATTAGCTGGAACCAGAAGTACACAAACTTCTCAAGTGTACGAGTGGCGCATGCAAAATGATTGTAGCCAATCAACAATGCTGGKTAGAAATGGCAGTAATGCTTGTACATTTACTGCGTTAAAGTTTGGCCAACTTTATTTTGACGCTAAGCTTAAGCCCCCTAACAGTGACTTTGAGCTGAACAATGACTGGAAAGTTGTCTTAAGGCAGGCTATTATTGCTGGCAATGATATACATGACGACATCTTTGAACATGATCCAATCAATGTCTCTGTAGAAGAAGGAGTGGAAATTGCTGGTGATGAATGCTGTGTAAAAGAACTCAAABAACAAATGGATGCCTTTGGTACAAGTACAATAACTGAACTTTCTTCAATCTTCGAAGATCTTGTGCAGCAAGAGAAACCRAATTGTAGTGTTGTGGTCACTTGTGAACGTTCTCTCCTGTTTATTGTGAACCATGACTGTTCTACAATGATGGTTGATTCTCATCACCACAGCCAGTATGGGGCACTGATAAGCTATGCARAACCAGGTGATGCAGGTTTTATGGCTAAATGGCTGGAAGAGATGGTAGCAGAAACTTGGAATTTGTCAATACAAACAGTATCTSTTACTCCTGTAGTATATGAAAAATGAAAAACCATTGTATTGGAAATACAATAATTTGTGCTGACACTTTTGCAATTGATAAATTTGAAAAGTACATACTGGTACCAACAATCTCATATTATATATTGATA